TAAGTAAGGTACCAGTCATGTCTGGAGAAACAGTCAATGTGAGACAACATGTAAAAGTATTCAAGTATGAGCAAAAATACCGTAATAGTGATATTGGATATAATATGTTTTATATAAAAACAAAAAAAATGTATATATAAAAAAAAAAGATTGTATTTAAATTGATAAATCAATATTTATTGTTTATATTTTAAAAAATACAATGCATCTAGTCTTATTTATTTTAATACAATATTTTATATCTCATTATTTTATCTGTTATATATTGTTTCTATCTATTATATATATTATATTTGTATTTTAATACAAATATTAAATGTAAGTAAATAATTAAAGATGATAGATAGATAGATAGATTATATAATTCCTCACTCTAGAAATTTTTAAGGAGGTGGTCATCTATGGATTGTTGAAAATGACTCAAAGTGACCAATCCTGTTCATACCTGGTAGACGGCTCGGACCAGGATGTCAGGAGCTCTGATATGTGTGTGCCTCAATCTTCTGAGGGCGGCCGAGGTCACATCCCACAATGCACTGTGCCTCACACACATACTCTCTCCCAGACTCAGAAGCATCGCCTCCATGACTGACAAGCACACAGGTACACAGGTGTGTGTTCCAATAATCCCCTCTCAGCACAGGTGTGTGTGGGAGAAAACGTCCCCAGGTAATGCTGCTCTCCTTTCTGCGTTCTCCTCTTTCATTTTCTCATCCCTTCTTCCTTTAATCCTCAGAAATGCCCCATGGGAGACTGAGACTGTGACTTCTGTGTGACTCAGATCTCGTCTTCCAAATGAATTCGGTCTCACTGGTCTCTCTCCCTCCACTGCAGGACAAATTCCCAGAATAACAGCTCTTGGTTCGCCCAACACAAACATTCCCACAAATAGAGAACTATTGGTCCCTCTCTGTTGTTCTCTCCCTCCTTCTCTCTCCCTCTCCCCTACTTGTTTGTTTTAAAGCAACAGTCCCAGAGGGCATCGAGGGGTTTTACGCTAGCATTATGCTCTGAGATGCCCATCTAGGGCAGAGTGAAGGACAGTTGTCCCTCCCCGCAGGACGGATCCTGCTCGGGTTCATCGGCCCCGGGCGACTGAAGAGATACTCGATATGTGTGTCTCAGCTTTCCCAGTGTGGCAGAGCAGCAGACAGCGCTACTCATGGGAGTTCAAAACTCGTTTTTCCATAAACAGTTGGGATGACGTCCAGATTCCAGAGTTTTGGAGTGGGACATGCCGTTTGTGTCAACGTTCTCAGATCAGCAAGCACCCAATCCACATCCAGTCCCTAAACTACAGACTACCTGACAAACATTTACCTGCAAAACCCCTCCAACATCCCGAAAAAAAGTACTCTTTAGGGCTTTGTTCAAATCACTAACCCTAACTGTGCGTTCACACCGCCGCCGTCGAGAGCGTCAAAAATCGCTCTGGCCGCCCTGCCAACAACGCTGTAGAAAGATTTGTGGACGCTGTTACGTAGAT